AAAGTTTGGCTGGGGCCGGGTTTGAACCCTCCACCTGTGGTATATGGGGCTGGTGCCCTACTCACTGAGCCAGTGTACTTTCATTGTTAAAAAGGGGTCATGCTGCCCAGGAGATCAGGGCTACAGTAAGCTATGATTGGGCCACTGTACTGCAGTCTGAATGACAGCAAGACCCCATCTCTTTTTTTTTTTTCTTGAGATAGAGACTCAGTCTGACACCCTGGGTAGAGTGCCATGTCATCATAGCTCACAACAACCTCCAAATCTTGGGCTCAAGTGATCCTCTTGCCTCAGTTTTTCTATTCTGTAGTAGAGACAGGGTCTCTCTTAGTCAGGCAGGAAGACCCCACCTCTAAAAAAAGAAATAAACTATCATAGGCCAGGTGGGATGGCTTACACCTGTAAGCCTCCACACTGGGAGGCTGAGGGAGGTGGATTGCTTGAGCTTAGGAGTTTGAGACCAGCCTGAGCAAGAATGAGACCCCATCTCTAAAAATAGCCAGGTGTTGTGGCAGGTGCCTGTAGTCCCAGTTCCGTGGGAGGCTGAGCCAGGAGGATTGCTTGAGCCCAAGAGTTTGAGGTGGTTGTGAGCTATGATTCCATGGCACTCTACCATCCCTCTGTCTCTAAATAAATAAATAATACAGTGCTGGTTTTATTGATATGTTTAACTGTTGACTAGTGAAAATTCAGTGAGCTATATGCTTATGCTTGTGTACCCATTTTGTCATTGGGTATTATATTTAATAATCAAATAGGGAGTTTGTGAGCAGTGCAGATTCCTGGACCCCACCCAGGAGATTATGATGTGGTTAAGTCTGGGACAAGGGCCATCTTCGGCATTTTAAACAAGCACCTCAGGTGATTTCTGATGCAGGGGTGATTTCTGATGCAGGGGTTCTGATTACATTTTGAGAAACTCTGTCCTTATTCTTGGGGGAAGGAAGGAAATACAGGGCTAACAGCCCATATGTACTAAGAATAGTTTTGGTTCCTGACCCCTTTGTTTCTAGATTGCAGGATACCTATATGGGGTGAGCCCACCAGATAACCCCCAGGTGAAGGAGATCCGCTGCATTGTGATGGTACCACAGTGGGGCACTCATCAGACTGTGCACTTGCCTGGCCAGCTGCCCCAACATGAGTACCTCAAGGTAAGTGGTGGTGACAGAGCTTAGGAGTGTGGGAGAACAGGACTTCCCTGCTGTCTGCAGATGGCATTCTGAACAGTTCTCTACTACTCTTTGTCTATAGGAGATGGAGCCCTTAGGTTGGATCCACACTCAGCCCAATGAGTCCCCCCAGTTATCACCCCAGGATGTCACCACTCATGCCAAAATCATGGCTGACAACCCATCTTGGGATGGCGAGAAGACCATTATCATCACCTGCAGGTGGGCTTGCACTCACTTGGGAGGAAGTATGATGTGGGAGGAATTGCAAGCCAAGACCCAGATTGGTGGCCTGAGCTCTTACTCTGTCCTTATCCCTCCCCCAGCTTCACACCAGGCTCCTGCACACTGACAGCCTACAAGCTGACCCCTAGTGGCTATGAATGGGGCCGACAGAACACAGACAAGGGCAACAACCCTAAGGGTTACCTACCATCACACTATGAAAGGGTCCAGATGTTGCTGTCAGACCGCTTCCTTGGCTTCTTTATGGTCCCTGCCCAGTCCTCATGGAACTACAACTTTATGGGTAGGTGGGCTGTATGTGTTTGTAAGTGGAGGAACACAGAAAAGTGGGGGTGGTGTTGGGGATAATGTTAGGCTGTCACCCTTAGCTCTTGGGGCCTAACTCTGGCTTGGAGATAGCCCAGGCTGCATGAGGCAGGTGGACCCTTGTTAACATTTGGTTATTATCTCCTCCCCTAAGGTGTCCGGCATGATCCTAACATGAAGTATGAGCTACAGCTGGCAAACCCTAAAGAGTTCTACCATGAGGTGCACAGACCCTCCCACTTCCTCAACTTTGCCCTCCTGCAGGAGGGTGAGGTCTACTCTGCGGACCGTGAAGACTTATATGCCTAGTTGTACCCTCACCATCTCCTGCTTCAGACTCCCCAAAGGCTAGACTGGAGCCTCTTATCTCCCACAGACAAGCTGATGACTTTTAGGAGCTTGGCCCTTTTTCCTCTGTTTTACTGTGCTGTTGACTTTGTGACCTGTAATTGTGAACAAAATATAATAATTTTTGTATAAACAGTTTGGGGGCTGTTTTTCCGGGAGCTTCGAATATGGGTGTAGGTCTGGCAGGAGGCCAAATTGACTGGGGCAGTTCATAGCCTTGATAGAGGAGTACAGGCCCCCATTCAGGACTTTGGGAACTGAGGTGGGGTTGGCCTTTCACACTTCTACCTCAGCCATATTTGCTGGTGTCCCTTCAAAATACAGTACTTGGCAAATTGTTACCCCCTTTCTTTCTTTTTTTTTTTTTTT